GTCAGGCAGAAATTTATTTATACCCCCTGAGGGTGTAAGAGGTTAATTCACCTGGTCTTCAAGTGTGCCTTCAGCATTTACCTTGGTATCAACCCGCAGCTTTTTGCCAGAACGTTCTGACTTTGTCTCATGGACAGGCAGCTGCAGAGAGAAGATTTTCAATTGATGAAGCAATCTAAACCTGCAACATAACACTGCAGAACAGAGGCTTGCTTGTGACTGTTGTCTGATAGGGAGTTTTACAAAAATCCCTTTCCCAAAATAACCCTTGAACTCATCAGCCACAAAGTTTCTTTTTGTCTCTTGAGACAAACGGAGAGAGACAATTAGTGCCCCAAGAGGAAGTCGACAGAGGATTATTTTGTACTTTTGGCCTTCATTTCATCTCTAATGGTTTTAAGAAGGTCTTTAAAAGTCTTAAATCTGAGTTGGTGAGACTTGCAGAAACTCTAGTAGAGATAAACATGTTGTTTCCACTCAGCTGAGAAATTTTAAACATCATTACCCAAACATAAAGAGACACACCTCGATGATGTGCCAGCATGACACAGACCACAAATACCAGCAGACACGGCAAACAAAAAGCTCTGAAAAACCTGTTTTGACGGCAGACTGTAATGTGATGTGATGTGACGTGATGTGCTGTGACGTGATGTGCTGTGATGTGACTTTCAGATCGCTATCAATACCATGGCATGTTTCTGTCTCCAAAAATGGCCACTAATCAATGAAATAAGATCAAAATATGCTCAATCAACTTCAGATTAATTTGTTAATCAATAACATGTACACCTACCTGCTTTGCTTTGCTTTGCTTTTCTTCTATATTTTCAACTTCAGTTTAATTCAAATTCAGAAATACTTTATTAATCCCAAATGGAAATGAAAAGTTGTTTTAACTCATTAATTAAAATTCTTCAAAGAGTTATTGAGATGTCTGTTGGCAGGAAAAATCTCCTGTAGTGGTCTGTGTTACAGCACATCGAAAGAAGCCTCTGACTGAAGATACTCTGTTTTGCCAAGAAAATGAATCAATTTTTCATGCAATTACGAGTCACTGCATTTGTTTGTACTTTTGTCGTGGTATGCATCTTCAATTTCATCCGTAATGGTTATAAGAAGGTCTTTAAAAGTCTTAAATTTGAGTTGGTGAACTCTAGTATAAAAACCTGGGTTGTTTCCACCACCCTGAGAAATTTTAAACATCGTTACCCAAACACAAAGAGACACACCTTGGTAATGTGTCAGCATGCACATACAGTACATACCATAAATGCCAGCAGATCACAGACAAACAAAAAGCTCTGGGAGATTACAACAGAAAAGCTTGTTTTGTCAGGGTAGGAAGAAAGATCTTTGAGCATTCAACAATCAGGTTTTGTTTTGCTTGGTTGGTTTTATGTGAAGAGGAAGATTCCCTACAACGGCACAACCTTCAGAGTGACTAAATGCATTGAAAACCAGCAGCAAGGACCTGGAAAACCATGAACATCTGGATGCCCAAAGGAAAACTAAAATAAATCACAAATTATTATATGTTATTATATGAGTATAATTTAGTGGAACATTCCCAGTAAACATTCCAGGGACCCATTTCTCTAATTAGAGCTCAAATAACTTTTAGCATTTTTGTCACTAAATGCCAAAGTGGACAGGATTGTGGCATTTTGTGGGTGCAAATGCAGTACATTTAATCAGTGTAGCCCAAAAAGACTGAATCTTCAGTATATATTTCATTTCTGTTCAGTATTATGGTGCAATCTTTTCTAATTTTAATACATCTATTTTCAAATCCTATAAACCAGGTTCTGCAGGAGGTTTCTTGCTGTTAAAGGGGAGTTTTTCCTCTCCACTGTTGCTACATGCATGCCCGGTATGAGGGATTGCTGTAAAGTCAACAAAAACACAATCTAATGTTGCCATGTGTTCATCTAGGAGGAGTAACTCAATGCAATCTGCTGAGCTTCTTTAGCTAGAAACTTTTTAATATAATTCAATAAAACACTAAATTTTCAGTTTCTTTTTCTTTGTTTGCTTTGTGTTTTTATCTTGTGCTTTGATGTAAAATAAATCTCTATATTAAAAATAAAAAAAGAAACTTTTTGATCTCCGGTGAATAATTAATTGAGGATACTGTACTGCTGAAAACTAGGTTCAATTGGAAAGTATGTGTTATTGAATTGAAGCGACACTTGTAAATCGGCGCTATGTTATAATAAACTGAACTGAATTGAATACGTTTTTGCTATTTCCAGTGTTCATCATTACAATGCCTATAGTTCACAGATTCATTTACTACTAACTACGCAGGCATGAGAAAATAATTCACCCTGTTTGCTCTGTCTCAAAGATCAGAGCTTCCCAAGAGTATACTGGTTTCCATCCCCTTTAAATATGAGGATGAAATAGAGAAAGAGGTGACAGAATGAAAACAAAGTCAAAGGATGGCAAATAGACGAAAGGGAGAAAGAATGAATGATGGACAGAGAAGAGAGAGACAGAGAGGAAGAAGGAAGATTGAAGTTTTTTTTTCTTGTCAGTGTTTGGGTGAGGATTTTTTTTTTTACAGACAGATATACCAGTGTGTCCAGTTTGATGAACAGGGCGTTATGTTGTTCTAGCGAAGCTTTGTGTGTTCTTCTTCACTGAATCCATAATCTCTCTCTTTAGTTTGAGGTTAACTGAAACCAACAACTACATGTTTCCTTACAGAACAAGGACACGCCCGTTCACTCGCACACAAGTCTAACCACATACCACACGACTAAACCGAGTCATGCATTAGTTTAAGTTGCTTACTGTTGGTCAGGGTTGACAGGGCGTTGGATAAAAACAGCTCAATCCTGGAATAAAAGATAGTAAAGGATGAAAAAACTTGAGACTGACCAACATATAAATCCAACTTAGAATATCTACCAAGATTTGAAATGGATATTGACAAACACTCCATCAAATCTAACCCTCCATGACTTCTACCGAATATCAGAGAAACTTGTTGAAAACGTGAAACAATCTTTCTTTGAACTTTAGTTTGAAGCAGAACTCAACCCTGCAACATGACAATGACCCAAAACATACCAGTACCGGGCTGAATCAGAGCCCAGTTGTTTATCCCTCTCAGATATTCTGGCAAGACTTTTGGGAGACGGCATGATTTTTTTTTTATTGTTGTTGTTCTGTTTTTGTTTGTTTTTTGTCCCATTTTTGTTTGATTCAGATATAAGTTGTTTCAAAATTGTTGGTTTGACTTAGATTGATTTGTACACTGGTACATATTGAGCCTGATCTCCAAATTCAATAATAAAGATGTGTAAAAAAGACAGTTGTGTGAAGTAAAATGTAATACAAGCAACAGGAAAAAGCAGTTTGTCCCAGGTGAAAGAACAAAGCTGAGACACAAATCCAGAAGAGAATTATTAAAACAATGAACCAAATGTAGCTTGTTCTCAGTTTCACTCATTTGTTCCATATTTGTTCCTATTTCTTGTAAAATTAAATGAGGAAGGGGAGAGCAAGAGAAAATCCAACCTGGATTTAAATCAAATCAAAACCACTCAGCAGTATTATGGTATAATGTATTGTGTATATAACTCACTTTGAAATATGTTATAGTTGTATTTTAGGCTATTTTACTGCGTTTTGAATATGGAAAAAAAAATGAAAATATCTTCTTTATGCTGCTGGACAGATTATTTTTAAAAACTCATTAGTGATTGTCTTACAAATAAAAACAACCTCTAGAAAATGCTTTAGCTGAGTTTTATGTGTATCAAGTTAAGCACAAAAGTCATTTTTTAAAAAACCAGGGACAGTAAGAACCAATCAAAGCTCCGGTTTCAGTTTCATTTCAGCTGCAGGAATCTTTAAAAAGGCCTGCACACAATCCAAACTATGTTCATTACCTGACTGCAGCTGAAGAGTCTACACTGCTCTCTGACTGACCATGGAAAATAAGACCTACAACTACGGTGAGTCAGGATACTGAGTCTGTTCTTATGTAGGAAATATCCAACAGAAACATGTAAATATGCAACTTTAGTCTTCTCTTGTGTTATTCTGGCATTAGCTCATGTACAAATATAATCATAGATTAAAATTTTTAGGATAGATTTGTGTAAAAGGCCATAGACTGTTTTTTAACATGATCTTAAATTCCTGAATTTAAGCTACAGCTAAATATATAAGATGATTATTATATTGGAGTCTCACTCATCTTCATTTTCTCCTCTTCTCGATTTAACCATTCGAATCAGACATAAATCAGCTGGTGGAAAGAGTAGACAAAAGGAACTTTATCTGAATTTGTCAGCTAAATTTTAAAAGCCATGTTATAAAAATCAACAAAGCTGTAAGAAATGAAATGAAATGAAGATCAAATATTAAAGATGCAGTATGTAAGTTTTATAAAAACATTTTTTTTACATATTTGTTGAAACTGTCGCTATGTTGTGACCACATGTTATGCGACAAATGAGCTGTGAAAAATTGTGCTCCTCTGTATTTTCCCAGCCACCCCTCCATGTGGCGCTGCTCATTCCTCTCTTGCTCTCTGTGGATGATTGACAGCGCTAGGACCCGCCTCCTGGCTCTGATTGGTTGTTTTTGTTTGGGAACGGTGCATTTCTTCAGACTGCAATACTAGTTCTGTATGGAGGTGAAGGAGATAGATCTTTTCACTGATTAACTAGTTTATAAATCACTAAATGGTTTAGCACCACAATACATTAAAGATCTGTTATTGCTGTACCAACCGTCTAGACCCCTCAGATCTTCTGGTTCTGATCTGCTCTGCATCCCCAGAACCAGAACCAAACGAGGAGAAGCAGCATTCAGTTTCTATGCACCACGGATTTGGAACAAACTTCCAGAAAACTGTAAAACATCTGAAACACTGGGTGCCTTTAAATCTCAGCTTAAAACCCACCTGTTTAGAGTTGCTTATGGCAATTAATGCTTTCAACGTATTTGATGTTTTTAATCTTTTTAATGATTTCATCCTTTCTTTTTACTTTATTTTTATTTTTCTTTCTCACTGTTTCCTTGTCAAACGATGTTTTGAAAATCATGTAAAGCACTTTGAAATGCCTTGCTGCTGAAATGTGCTATACAAATAAAATTTGATTGATTGATTGATTGATTAACCGTCTCATATTACACCATCACAATATATTGACAATTTAGGGTAATTAAATATGTAAAAAGTATACATTTTTGGGGGAAATGTCATTTACTGCAGCTTTAAAAGTTTAAATGGGCTTCCATCCAAACCATTAAGTGACTTTATACAGAAATATGTAAGTGTTATAAAAAATAAAAAATAAATAAAATTTACGTATTTGTTGAAATTGTCATGTTGTGACAGTTTCAAAATGGTAGAACTACCAGAGCTACTTTGTCTGTGAGAGGGTCCACAATTTGGTACTTTGTCAACTTAAAGCCTATGACCACTTTCAACATGATTAAAAAACAAACCAAACTCTGTCAAAACCAGCTCTGTATTCATGTATAATGTGTTTATAATGTTTTAATTACCCTACTTCATGTGTTTGAAACTACGTTTTGTTAATATTACTTCATTGTTGTTTATAAAAGTCTTTCTAGTAACAAATCATAAGAGTTTCACTCAGTTTATCTGTGTTATTGTGTATCTGTCCCTATCACATAAACTTAACAAATACATAAAATAACTTAACTTTGTGCTCACACTCACAATTAAACCTTATTTTTCACAGGAACCAACATTACAAACAACACTGAGCTGAGGATCGTGATGGTGGGGAAGACTGGGATTGGGAAGAGCGCTACTGGTAACACTATTCTGGGTCGCCAGTGCTTTCAGTCCAAATGCAGCGCCAAATCCATGACTGTAAACTGCTCCAAAAGCAGCAGTACTGTGGACGGACAGCAGGTTGCTGTCATTGACACTCCAGGTCTGTTCGACACCAGGTTTGAAAAGGACAAAACCACCAAGGATCTGGGTCAGTGCGTCCGCTATGCCGCTCCTGGACCCCACATCTTCCTGGTGGTCGTTGCAATCGGCAGATTCACAGAAGAGGAAAAGCAGTCAGTGCAAATGATTCAAGAAATCTTTGGAGACGCAGCAAACAGATACAGCATGGTTCTGTTTACCCATGGAGACAACCTTGAATGCAACATCGAAGAGTATTTGTCTGAAAGCCCAGAACTCCAGGATCTGGTGTCCAGATGTAACAACCAGTATCATGTCTTCAACAATAAGCTGAAAGATAAGAAACCTCAGGTCACTGAGCTGCTGAGGAAGATCAGAACCATTGTTGACAGGAATGGAGGAAGTCACTACACCAATGAGATGTTCCAAGAGGCTGAGAGGGCGATCGAAGAGAAGAAACAACGCATCCTGAAGGAAAAGGAAGAGAAAATACGCAGAGAGAAAGAAGAACTGGAGAGAAAAATAAAAGAAAAATATGAGAAAGAGATGCAGAAAATTAATGAGCAAATCCAGGCTGAGAGAGAGAGAGAGAAGAAAGAGAGAGAGGAGGAGAGGAAGAGGGAGAAGGAGGAGATGAATGAGGAGAGAAAGAGAGAAATGGAAAGGAGAGAGGTAGAGAGAAAAGAGAGAGAGAAGGAGTTTGAAACCATGAAAAAACAACTGAAGGAGCAGCAGGAGAGAGAAATTCAAGCTGAAAAATCCAAGCTGCAGTCCATGCATGTTTCTGAGGCCAGAACTGAAGCTGAAGAACATGATCTGTTCTATCATCTGGCACTAGCTGGAAAATTTCTTGCTAAGGCCTGTGAAATAATGTAAGGTTATAGTTGTCACCTAGCAATTGCTACTGATGCAGAAATACTAAAAGAACAAATTTTAACTGGATGTTTCTCAAAAGAGAAACATAAACAACACAGACTTGATAAATGAAGTTGAGCTCAAGGTAGTGTAATGTAATTCACCTCTGACCTCAGTGTCTTGCAATTCGTTTAAAAATGTTATCATTTTACTGTGATCATTGTCCTTATTGTCAGTATGTTGGCTCACTCTGTTGTTTAATCCTGTACTGAGTGTAATGTGACACGTAAACCTTAATCTAATCAATAAATACTGTTTCATCCATCCATTTTCTGTACACCCTTGTCCT